TTGATTCTCTCTCTCTCTCTCTCTCTCTCTCTCTCTCTCTCGAAAACTAATTCTTGAGAAAACTTAGCGCTAAATGAAATGCAAAGATTAGTGAATATTATGATAAGTGTTATTAAAGAATACGAAAATATGCACCAAAAATAAAACTAAAGCATTAGACAAATGGTAGGAAATTGTAACCGAAAAAGGTTTTTGTTATAAATGACTGCAAACATAGAATTTAATGAAACGAAATGAAAGAAAAGTTTCTAATACTTTATTCTTATAGAATTTGAGATACGAATTGATATGTGATATGAAAAATATGATTATTTTAGAAATTGTAGACAATATTGAATGCAAAAGAGCTTTTATTTAGACGATCGATATATAAGATATCAAACATTATTATCATTTATCTATGAGTTAACGGAAAATAATGGAAAAACTAAGTCCAAGAATCTAAGATAACAACCTATTATTTGTTGTTTTCATTTCATTCTATTGCTTATATTTGGAGACAGATTGCAACCAAAAATATGTCTTATTTATAAATATCTTATATTTTTATTGATTTACTTTTTTAGGGAAAAGGTATTGAATTACGTGAGCGATCAGAAGATCACTTTCGATGAGGGATGGGTTACATTCAATGTGACCGAACCCTTCATACAATGGGTTTCGTTTCCGCACAACAATCTGGGTTTATATTTACGAATTAGAGCCCATACTATAGGTATTCACACGTTTATTATTAACACGTTTTTAATTAAATTCACATTTTAATAATTTAAATTAATATTAAACAATAGAAGTTTAATATTGATAAATCTAATCAATCATTTATAATGAATATTGAATCACTTTTTGAACACTAAACCAATTTTATAAATAGTAGCGTAAAAATAATAATCTATTGAAGTTATTCAGTATTTAACTAGAATATGGATATTAAGTATTTAACTAGAATTTTATCAAAAGCCTCAACTCTGTATATGAAAATGATTTTGGTTAAAAACATATCATAAGTTAACCCTAGGAAACATTATTGTTTATTTATAAAAAGAGTATTAACAGGGTAATTAAGAATTTACATAAGATAAGAGCTAAAATAAAGTAAATCAAACTAAAGTGAAAAAAATATAAAATAAAAAAATGTAAAAAGTGTTTCCGCCCGGGATCGAACCGGGGACCTTGCGCGTGTGAGGCGCACGTGATAACCACTACACCACGGAAACCAGTTGAGAGTCTGTGTCTGTAACAGTGTTTTTAATGCTGCGCTCACTATATATGAGAGTATGTGTGAGAGATGCATGTGCTGTACAAATGATCAGCTCTCTCTTTCTATTAGCCCTCATATACTGTAATACATGTTTAAACTCTCAATTTAAACATGTTCATTTTTTCATAAATACTTTTGCTTTATATTTGCGATTACTATGAATATGAAAAAAAATATTCTCGTTGTATAACTTGTCTGAAATACTGGTTTCACTTAACCTGAAAACAACTTTTTCTGTAAATAATATAAAATATTCTAAAATAAATACCTTTAACTTCTCACTTATTTCTACAAATTTTGTATTAAAATAACTAAATTTGCAAAAATAAATCTATTTTTATACTATATTTAATGGAAAGTGAAGGATATTTTTATGATGATAAATGCATATTTAAAATGACACTAAAATTACGGTTACTATTAATAAAATAATTAAATGAAATGAATTTGTCATTTATAACGGAATATAAAAATCTTACGATAAATACAATACAAGATTTGTTTGAAAACTCTTTTCAACGCATTTCAGTATAAAATTAATTAATATTTTATGATATATTTGTTATAAATAACAAAAATTGTGTCACTTTTATGTCAAACTAAATGACTTTTATTGTGTATCCAATTAGAGCGAGACATTGATCCGCAAGAGATCGGTATAATTGGGACGAATGGACCGAAAGATCGGCAGCCGTTTACGATTGCATTTTTCAAGAGCCGTGGATCGGGTGGACGCGTCCGCAAAGTTAGACAAGTCTCGCGGAAACGACAACGAAGTGATGTCTCCTTCTATGATCACGACGAGTGGAATCCCTATCTTAGTATGTCTTATATTGTCATCTCTCTCTCTCTCTCTCTCTCTCTCAACTGGTTTCCGTGGTGTAG